TCTGTCAGTTCGCGCTGACAATCAAGGCTAACGTTAGGAAGCTGCCTACCCCAGCCTTACCCTATTGCTTGTCGTCCGTGACGTTCCTGCGCTACTCAATAAGTTCTTCGCGGCGGTCGGGACGTGGCTGGTATTGTACACTGATGTCGCTGCCGATTCCCTCTGATCTGCTCCTTTTCGACCGCACGTCCTTCGAGCCAAGTCCTGCTCAGTTGGCCAAGGCTTAGACAACTTTCCCCACGTGCTCACGGTACCTCGTCGCAGGATTCTATTGCTCGACTATGACGGACCCGCAAAGCGATGTGCCACAGTGCGGTCGCAACAAAGAAGGAAAAAAACCCCCTTGACTTAGCCGTGTGATGTCCTCTGGACCTCAGCTACCTGTGTCTCAATTCGAAAATTCCTGATGTCAAAATCCCGAACGTCTCGACGTAGCGATCTTGCTTGTAGGCTTCCCACGGCGCTGCTTCCGACAACTTAACTTGTTTTTTACGTGCTGCTGGTTGACTTGGTTCATTGACTTTAATGACTGCGTGATCTTGACGGATTGACTCCTGGTGATCGACTGATGCTTACCCCAAAACGCTGCGCCCTCGTGAAGGTCCCCATGTGGCATGTGGCACGCAGGCGCGCCATCCCGCTGCTGAAATGTTTCACTTTCTCTCCTGGTCCACAATCCACGGCAGAGTCCGAAGTCCGGTGCGTTCCGTTATTTCCCTTTCTACCTGGCATCCACAGTCTGCCATTGAAGTCTCCGCTCTCTCTTTCTCTCTCTCTCTCCAAACTCTCTTTCTCCAACCTCGCGTTCTCAAAACTCTCGTTCTCCTACTCCCTTTCTAAAAACTCTTTTCCTCCAAACTCTCTTTCTCCAAACTCTCTATCTCCAAACTCACTTTCTCTAAATTGTCTTTCTCCAATTTTTCGTTCTCCAAGCCGTCTTTCTCCAAACTCTCTACGCAATGCCGTTACTACGTGCTTATTCGCCGCGTGTCTGGTAGCGGGCAGGCCACCTTACAACTGCCGCTGCAATTTGTGCGGGGTTAATTAACTTCTCACCTATAACAAACAAACATGACAAAATAATCTAGAAAATTATGGTTCCGTTAGCCGAAAGTTGCATGCCTTAATGTTTTGTGCCTATAAAAGTCCCGCAAAGGGACAGTTCTAAAAGGCAAATATATAATTATACAAGTAAAACACACACACACAGGAGCATTGGCCAATGATTCGGAGGACCCGGACAGATGTTTGAGAAAGGCGATGCCTAATGTCAATGTTACTAACAATAATTGTACGCTAATAGGTAACCTAAATAACACAATTTTAAGCAATAAAAACGCTTTATTCGACGGCCTCGACTATCAGATACCCGTTACTTAGCTACCAAAAAAACGCCTCATTTCATTCATTCCTTTCAGCTGTTTACAAGATTTCTCTAACACGTCACATAACAGACACCTAGCGCTAGTGAAATTTCTTAGGAAGCCGATTTACTGTACCATCTCACTCGCACTTATTTAGTTTGCTAATTATTAATAACTGTTTGGTTATAAGTGTTTAATGATTACAAATTTGTCCAAAATATTAGAAAATATGGGCGCCAGCAGGGTTTTAGCGAGTTGGGCGATTGGGGGCGTTACAGTGGCACCCTGCTAAAACAAGCTTGCGCTGCGCAGGAAGCCCACATATATTTCCAACATTCTAGCTCTTATAGTTTTCGAGATCTCAGCGTTCATACGGACCAACGGGCACGGCTCGATGAACTCGGCCTTATATACTATACTTTATGGGGTTATAAACGCTTCCTTTTACCTGTAATGTACTGTCCGACAAGACAAGTATACCCTTTTATTCTACAAGTAACGGCTATATTTGTATTTAAAAGTATTGACAAATAAGTCGTATTTCTCAATTTTTCCCAATTAATTAATTCATTTAAAAAATATTTTCGGGCCACGCTAAAAAATTTCCGGTTAAATTTGTACCTACAAATTGCGATCCCGTATCGTAAAACCTTCTCTAAACATATTTTTACATATCGATTTTGTTGACCTGTAATTCGCACCTCTAAAATGCGTTTTTAAATTGATTTGTTCGTGTCTTTTAATAAATTTAAAATTTCTATTCGTAATGGCATCATAAGCCAAATCCGCCCTAAACTTATTTATTGCCACACAGAGAAAAACGGAAAAATAACCTTTTGAAATTGAAGAGACAATATTTAAAACATCACTTTTTATACCCGTTACTCGTAGAGTAAAAGGGTATACTACATTCGTTGCAAAGTATGTAACAGACAGAAGGAAGCGTTTCCGACCCCAAAAGGTATATCTATTCTTGATCACGATCACTAGCCGAGTCGATCTAGCCATGTCCGTCTGTCCGTCTGTCCGTATGAACGCTGAGATCTCGGAAACTATACAAGCTACAATACTGGGATTAGACAAGCAGGTTCCTGAGATTCCTGCGCAGCGCAAGTTTGTTTCAGCAGAGGGCCACGCCCACTCTAACGCCCACAAACCGCCCAAAACTGTGGCTCCTACAGTTTTGATGCTAGATTAAAAATTTTAGCTGAAATGTATTGTTCTCATCAATACCTATCGATTGACCAAAAAGTTTGCCACGCCCACTTTAACGCCCACAAACCGTTCAAACTGTGGCGCCAATTTTCATGCTACTTTACCAATTTACATAAATAAAAACATAAGTTGAACATTCCATTTATTTTACCTGTTACTCGTAGAGTAAAAGGGTATACTAGATTCGTCGGAAAGTATGTAACAGGCAGAAGGAAGCGTTTCCGACCCCATAAAGTGTATATTTTCTTGATCAGGATCACTAGCCGAGTCGATCCAGCCATGTCCGTCTGACCGTCTGTCTGTCTGTCCGTCTGTCTGTCCGTCCGGATGAACGCTGAGATCTCGGAAACTATAAGAGCTAGGCTATTGATATTTGGGTTGCAGGTTTCTGAGCTTCTTACGCAGCGCAAGTTTGTTTCAGCAATGTGCCACACCCACTCTAACGCCCACAAACCGCCCAAAACTTTGGCTCCTATAGTTTTGATGCTAGAATAAAAATGTAAATGGAAATGTATTGTCCTCAACAATACCTATCGATTAACCAAAAAAAGTTTGCCAAGCCCACTTTAACGCCCACAAGCCGCCCAAGTCTGTGGTGCCCACAATTTGAATGCTAGATAAAAAAATTTTAACTGAAATGTTTTTGTATTATTAATACCTATCGATTGATCCAAAAAAAAGTTTGCACGCCCACTCTAACGCCTGTAAGCCGCATAACACTGTGGCGCCCACAATGTTTATGCTAGAAAGAAATGTTAACTGAAATGTATTAGTCTCGTCAATACTTATCGATTGACCCCAAAAAGAAATTGGCCACGCCCACTCTAACGCCCATAACGCCTAAGTCTGTCTACCGCCCACATAGCCGAGTTGATCTAGCCATGTCCGTCTGTCCGTCTGTCCGGATGAACGCTGAGATCTCGGAAACTATGGGAGCTAGGCTATTGAGATTTGGCGTGCAGATTCCTGAGCTTCTTACGCAGCGCAAGTTTGTTTCAGCACAGTGCCACGCCCACTCTAACGCCCACAAACCGCCCAAAACTGTGGCTCGTACAGTTTTGATGCTAGAATAAAAATTTTAACTGAAATGTATTGTTCTTATCAATACCTATCGATTGACCCAAAAAAAAGTTTGCCACGCCCACTTAAACGCCCACAAACCGCGACGCCCACACCCTGTGACGCCCACAATTTTCATGCTAGATAAAAAATTTTAACTGAAATGTATTGGTCTCGTCGATACCTATCGATTGATCCACGCCCACTCTAACGCCCATAACGCTTAAATCTGTATACCGCCGGTAGGTGGCGCATTTTAATCTCTCTTTGCTGCTTGCATATCTCCATATAGCTGAGTAACGGGTATCTGATAGTCGAGGTACTCGACTATAGCGTTCTTCCTTGTTTTTATTTTAAATTCTTTGTGTACCAGCAGACTCCTCCTTTTTAAATGTATCCAACTGATTTGTTTTCCGTTTGGCAACAAACCCAGCTGCTTTACAGTAAGACCATTCTACATGCATTGAAGGTGAACTTTGAAAACTTCGGTCACACTGCAAAGAATAAGATTTTTCAATCTTCGCCGATCTGAGTACTAGGCTTAAAAGTGGAGCATTTTGCTCCATAAATTACATTGTATTTACTTGATGTTTGTCTAATTTTAATAAATTTATTTCTTGGACACCGCGACGTGTTTTTGGGTGGCTGGTCTACACACTGCAGTACAACAATGTCAAATGGCTGCGCAGGATGGCAAGTTGGCAATTTGGCGTCCACTACATTGCTAGGATACATCTATAAAGGACAGAAGAAGGACTCCCAGGCGCTGTTGTAAGCTACATGAGTGGACCGAGCTCAGAGTGATTAACAATACAATGCTAAGTCTTCGAAATATGTTTGTAATAGAACCGAAATATATTGAAAATAAATAATTTATGCAAATTTAAAGGAGTTCACCAATTAATTCCATTTTTCTGCAGATAATCGATATCAAACGTAGTCACACAGGAATAAGTTGTGTAGAGCTTTTATCGATAAAAGTCCAAACTTTTTCTTGGGAAAAGGCCAATTGGTCTTGATATGGCCAGAAACTTAATTAGCAGCCCTCGTTATTGGAGCTTGATCACTTTACTCATTTACCTTGAGAAATGGCTATTTGCCAAACTGTTGGGTAATTGAGTTCTGAGATACAAGCTCTTTAATACAACAACAACTGAAAAACAAGTTTTTCGCGAATATCTCAAGAATAAATCTTTCCAAAATATTTTTAATAACACCAGCGTATAGAGTGATCTAGACAATGCGGTTTTAAAGCTGAACTTTTTTGCCTGCATGCTAGTGTTAGGTTAGATTTCTTCTATGACCTATGATAGAGTGCGATAGAGTGTGATAGAAAAATTTGGAACTGCAGAGAGATGTCAACCTTATTAGGTAACGGTAAGGCTTCCCGCTATTTATTCAGCTTGACATAATTTCAAAATGTTTCAGCTATTATACGTTTGACTACTTTATGTTCAGGTTGTAGTTCCTCAAATAGATGCCAGCCAAAAAACTCCTGGATGCGCTTACGGCGATTGTCCTGCATCAAGATTGAGACCACGTGCTTGTTACCTGGGCCCTCGATCGTTTGGCGCTCGAGGGCCTCGACCTCGTCCTCGCTGATTATATCCTTCTGGTTGTCGTCATCAGCCGGGGGGATCGGTCCCTCAGAGCTGGGGACTGCCGTAGTCTCATCTTTTGCAGCATTAACAACTTCGGTATCATCCTGGAGTACGATTCCGTCCGCAAGATCGTTCAGGTTGAGGCCTTGCAGCAAATCAGCGATCGAAGGCACGAAGGCGCTACGACGCGAGCTGGTAGAGTTTGAGCTGTTGGAATTGCTAGAGGGCAGGTAAATTCCCTGCATGTTGTTAGGATTGATGATCAGGTAGGTTGGTCCGCCTCCGGCACTGTTCAGGTATTCCATTCCGGGGAACTGTGGCGGTGGACGGCTGGGCGGTAGCGGTTGCGGGTAGTAATGATAGTAGGGGGTATTGTACGGGCTGTGGTGGTAGTGTTGTCTGTCCGAGTCGCGATCCGCTATCCAGCTGGGCTGCTGCACAATTATGATAGGCTGTGTGTTTCGGTGGCTCTCCTGGTTGCCTCCGCGCTTCATGTTCCACAGAAGTCGGGGAACGATCTTGGAGAATGCTGTAAGGAGCGGAATTGGAGTGATTATGGATTCTGATTACGACCAACTGAACTTACCATCGTTCGTTCGGTTTTTGACGTTTGAAGCCTGATGGGCAGCATTCAAGGCAAAAATTGATGCTAGAACGATCAAGCCGCTAATAGTTCTCATCGTTCGTCAATTGTAATCTTCTGTAGGTGACTGTGTTCCTCCACTCGGACCTTGCTTAGTTTTATACCCAAAGCCCTAAGACTCACAGTTCATCTGGGATACTGTGGATACCAGAAATTTATCCGTATCGCCTCGTAAATCAATTTCAGTCGCAGCTGCTTGCTTCTCTAGAAAATGATTTTTGACCGGTTTTCAATTTATGTCTTTCTTTCGCCCCGGGCCGTTTTCATGATAGTTTAAGCATAAAGTAGTCTTCTTTTACTTATTTAGGTATCTGTTCTATCAGTCGCCGACATCAAAGCCGTCTAATTAACCGATAGGATCATTTTGCGAATTGATCTAAAGACCACTAACGCCAAAATCGTATTCGCTTTACTTTGAACTTGAGGAGGGCTTTTGAAAGGCGGTGGTCTCGTTTTGAAATGGTTTCAACTGCTTTCAGCTAACTAATTTAACATATTAACAAAAAGTCCACCAAAAAAAAAAAATAGAAAAAAATCGTGGTCACTTTTCACGATTTCCGACAGTTTATTTTGTGTTCATAAAAACCGAACGCCGCGCGGTCAAATCGTGAACATTTAAGTGAAATTATGAACGCGTTCATGCTAAAAGCCTTAACAGAAATGGCAACACAATTCGTGAAAACATGTACACCGGTCGGTATAAGTGTTTTGTCGAAACAAAAAAAAAGGTAATTTAAATGCCGTTTGAATAATACAATACATTTCTTAACCCTTTCTGTACTTACTGAAAAGGACGAATTTGCGTGAAAATCTACTTTTTAAATTTTTCCCTCGCCCTGAAAACTGAAATTTTTTATGCAAAAAGTTCTTCAACAAAAAAAAATAGTAACTGCAAAAAGAATTTTTCAAAAATCATTTTGCTTATATTTTAATGAACATCCATTTCAAATTTGAAGGATTTACGTCTTGTCGTTCAAGAGATATTAGATTTAGATTTCACAAAAAAATTAGGCTCAACGTATTCACGTGCTGTACGCTTGCACCCGCTGAGTTAGACAGCTGTTATTTTAACAGTGGCCTGTCAAGTTAACATTTCCGTTATGTAACATACCATGTTCTTAATTCGATAACATGAACTTTTCACAATTTTGAATACTTTTGAAAAACAGAATTATGCCAAAAAACAGGGCAAAGTCCCCATAGTGCGTCGGTATGAACGCTAAAGTCTCGGAAACTATAAAAGCTATAAAGTTGAGATATGGTATGTAGATTCTTGAGCATTTGCGCAGCACAAGTTTGTTTCACCAGGGTGCCACCCCCACTCTAAAACCCAAGTTTTTAAATATTAAAAAAAAAATTAAGTCAGATTTTGTTTTAATTATCAATTTTCAACTTCATGCCAAAAATGTTCATATTAATTTTAAGTATTCAAAATTAATTATTTTAAGGTTTTTAATTTTTATAATAAAATATTTTCTAAGAATAATGTTGAAAGTATAAATTAAAAGCGTATTTAAATGTTTATATCAAATAAAAAAACCTGAATAAAACATTTATTATATTTACAAGCAAATTTATAAATTAGAATTAATTATATTTTTGTTATTCCCTTTTTAAAAATTGTTCCTACCCTGTTCGTTTAATTTTTAATTTTTTGTTTAATACTTTAACAAACAAGATTAATTACAAACACTTAAAACATATGTATATAGTTTATAGACCGAACATTAAAAAACTGATTTCATATTTATAAAAATTAAATACAAATTTATATATTTTAAATACATACGTATGAATGTCAGATGGCAAAAAGCATTTTTGTTCATTTTTGTCCCAAAATACTGTGCCGCGCTGTCGACGCCAGCAGAGTATTCGCCGCAGCGCAGAAGACTGCCGACGAAAACGGTCGGGTTACAAAGAGAGGCAGATATTCGGAGGTTTGTCTTATAAACATAACGGAGAGACGCAAAAAAAGGAGCGTCGAGTGCAGGCAGATACTGCAACCAAAATGTTGGCGGAAAAATGTTTGTGACGCAGCGACATGTAAATGCCCTATTATTTTAGGAGCATTATTGTTATTAGAAAAAAACAAATAAAAATGTTTTATAAAAGTAAATTATTGGATCATATTAAAATTAAGTAAATTACATTTACTTATAATGTTATTTTTATGTATCATACACTGGTCGGCATATATATTTTGTCATGGCGATGCCTCAGTTTCTGTTTAAATTTTTTTTTATTTTAAATATAAAAAAATGTATGGATTGTACATAATTCATTTAGTTACATTGTATTAAATTATAAATATAACAAATTTTCATTTTTAACATTCATTTAGATTTTTAATTTAATTAAAACTAAAAACTAAGTCATTTCATGGGTGGCATAAGTATTTTGACAAAATTTCTTTTTTCATCTTAATTAACTACTTTGTTTTATAAATTTATTTGAAACTGGAAATTAATAAAAAATATACCCTCCTTTGGTGTCTATGACCTTTTGCAGGCGATTCGGAACGGAATCGACCAAGGTTTGAAGGTATTTTAAGGGAACCTCTTTCCAATTCATTGTAACCTCAGTGACGGTTTCTGCTTTTGTCCTGGTCAGATCAGTGCTTCTTTCTCGCTTTATTAGCGACCACACATTTTCAATAATGTTTAAATCAGGACTTTGTGGCGGCCAATCGAGAGTTTCCACCCCGACATCTCTTAAAAACCTAGTAATCATTCTAGCCTTATGGCAAGGAGCGTTGTCCTGTTGGAGAATAAATTCTTTTCCTATTAATCTGTCGCCGGAGGGAAATGCATAATTCTGATTCATGGATCCGTCTATGGGAACCACCCCCATGACTTACTCTTTGACACACAGGAGCATTTTTTTTACGGTAATTCTTGTTAATTCTTACAAAAACTTTCTTTTGAGATGCGTGGAATTCAAAACTACTCTCATCTGTCCACAGGACATTACGCCAAAATGAAGCGGGCTTGGTGATGTATCTTTTCGCGAACTCCAAACGCTTTAGTTTATTTTTAGGGGTGATAAAAGGAATTGGTTTTGCAATATATGTTTTCATATCTGCTTCAATCAAACGCCTGCGTATTGTTCTCTCACTTATGGAAGTGGATGCAGTCTCATCCCACTCTAAGGACACAGCCTTTGGTGTTTTTAAAGGGTCCTTCTTAAAAGCACGGACGATAAGACGGTCTTCATGAGCTGTAGTCTTTCGATTTCTGCCTTTACGGTGAACATTGATCACATCATTAAATTTTTTATATTTATTGATTTGATAATAAATGGTCTGACGAGACAAATTATATTCCTCAGCGATGTTTATTACAGAAACACCCAAGTTATATTTGATCACAATTTCCGATCTTATTTTGGCGCTCAGCTCAGATTTTTTAACCATTTTAAATATTAAAAAATCGACTTTATCCAATATTAATGAAAACTTGTAATAATATTCTTGAACAACACTTTCAGCTTGCCTAGAAACAACTAAATCACGCAATGACAAAATATATATGCCACTGCTAAAATCGTTGCTTGCTGGCATTCTTATCAGCAGAACGAAAAAACAAAACACAATTGACGAAATATTTTGCATATTAACAGTTATTGATTTGCTCTTCTCTTTTATCATAATTTTCAGTTCGAACAATGCACCGGTACTTAGATCAAGAGTCTGATAGTCAAATGAATACTATGACAAAATATATATGCCGACCAGTGTACATTACTATTGCAATGTAATTTTTTAGTTTAGTTATACAAAATTTAGTCCGTTAACATTTATTTAAATATTTAAAACATTTTAATTATAACATTTAAAACAAATATTAAAGTGTTTTTACCAGGGACCGCAATTATTATGAGTTTTATTTTACATAGCGACGAAGCGCACCAGGAGGATGGGCGAAGGCGACTACTTTTTATACACAAGGAAATGAAAATCTACAATAATCGTCGGATGGTTTCGAGTGATACATCAATCGAAAGGTATTGTGCAAAGTGCAAATTTTTAAAATTTGATCTGTTGGGGCCGGTGGGGATAAATACCCGCCGCTATTAACCGAGTCAAAATCGGATGCTCCGTTCAAAAGTAATACGCAAAATAAGATTTTGGGGCACTTCCCAAAATAAAAAAATAATTCAGTTTGTCTGTTTGTCGCAAAATGATGTTTTAGGATCCTGGAAATTTTTGGAAAACTAGCTAGTTTGGCGAGAAAACAGCTTACAAATAGCTTTATTTTGTACACCCGTACCTTGTGAACTACTAAAGCTACAGGCTAGTGCTATATGTCGTTAGAAAGTTATTTTGAAATACTATTTACGTCTTTCAAACATGATTTGTCTAAATACAATTGTTTAAAAATTATGGCAAAAAGTTTTTTTTTCCGACTTTTTTAAGGCATTTTTTCTGAACGCTCTAAAACGGCTCTAACGATTTCAAATTAAATTTTAAGCTGTATATTTCTCGAGATTCCTCAATTTTTGAAGAACGGCACATTGCTGTAAAGGGTCCCGTATGAAAGTTATTAATAAAAAAAATGGCCACATTTACCAGCTCAAAACACTGCCTGAGCATCGAACTTTTTTTGTGCGTATCCAAACTAATAATAATAAAACAAGGAAGAACGCTATAGTCGAGTACCTCGACTATCAGATACCCGTTACTCAATGGGAAATGGAGATATGCAAGCAGCAAAGCGAAATTAAAATGCGCCACCTACCGGCGGTAGACAGATTTAAGCGTTATGGGCGTTAGAGTGGCCGTGGCAAAATTATTTTTGGATCAATCGATAGGTATTGACGACACCAATACATTTCAGTTAAAATTTTTTTATTTAGCATGCAAATTGTGGGCGTCACAGGTTTTCGCGGTTTGTGGGCGTTTAAGTGGGCGTGGCAAACTTTTTTTTAGGTCAATCGATAGGTATTGATGAGAACAATACATTTCAGTTAAAATTTTCTATCTATCTATCTAATCTAGCATCAAAACTGTAGGAGTTACAGTTTTGGGCGGTTTGTGGGCGTTAGAGTGGGCGTGGCAGTCTACTGAAACAAACTTGCGCTGCGTAAGAAGCTCAGGAATCTGTACGCCAAATCTCAATAGCCTAGCTCTCATAGTTTCCGAGATCTCAGCGTTCATCCGGACGGACAGACAGACGGACAGACGGTCAGACGGATCTAGTATACCCTTTTACTCTACGAGTAACGGGTATAAAAATGGCCACATTTACCAGTTTAGAACAAACTCTATTTGACAGATATTTCTTTCAAACATTAATAAACAAACAAATAAATAAATAAATAAATAAATAAATAAATAAATAAATAAATAAATAAATAAATAAACAAATAAATAAATAAAAAAATAAATTAAAAAAAATTAATTAATTAATTAATTAATTAATACATAAACAAATAACAAAAAATAAATAAAAAAATATATAAATAAAATAAATAAATAAATAAGAAAATAAATAAATATTTAAATAAATAAAGAAATAAGTAAATAAATGTATTAATAAAAAAAAAAAAAAAATCAAAAAACATATAAACAAATAAATAAATAGATAAATAAATAAATAAATAAATAAATAAATAAATAAATAAATAAATAAATAAATAAATAAATAAATAAATAAATAAATAAATAAATAAATAAATAAATAAATAAATAAATAAATAAATAAATAAATA